AGAACTGGCCCCAAAACTGAGCCCTGAGGTCCTGTACCTGGGTCAGGGCAAACCCAAGCACAGATACATGCTGGGCGGGGAATGGATTGAGAGCAGCACTGAGAAGGACTTGGGGGTGCTGGCTGACAAGAAGTTCAACATGAGCCAGCCATGTGTGCTTGCAGCCCAGAAAGCCAACCATATTGCATCAAAAGAAATGCGACCAGCAGGTTGAGGGAGGTGATTCTGCCCCTCTACTCAGCTCTAGTGAGACCACACCTGCAGTATTGCCTTCAGCTCTGGAGCACTCAACACAAAAAAGGACATGGACCTGTTGGAGCGAGTCCAGAGGAGAGCCACGAAGATGACCAGAGGGCTCGAGCACCTGCAGTATTGCCTTCAGCTCTGGAGCACTCAACACAAAAAAGGACATGGACCTGTTGGAGCGAGTCCAGAGGAGGGCCACGAAGATGATCAGAGGGCTGGAGCACCTCTCCTATGAAGACAGGCTGAAAGAGTTGGGGTTGTTCAGCCTCGAGAACAGAAGGCTCCGGGGACACCTTATAGCAGCTTTCCAGTACCTAAAGTGGCCTACAAGAAAGTTAGGGAGGGACTTTTTACAAGGGCATGTAGTGACCGGACAAGGGGTGATGGCTTTAAACTGGAAAAGGGAAGATTTAGATTAGATATTAGGAAGAAATTCTTCACTGTGAGGGTGGTGAGGCACTGGAACAGGTTGCCCAGCAAAGCTGTGGATGCCCCATCCCTGGAAGTGTTCAAGGCCAGGTTGGATGGGGCTTTGAGCAACCTGGTCTTGTGGAAGGTTTCCCTGCCCGTATCAGGGGGGTTGGAACTAGATGATCTTTTAAGGTTCCTTCCAATCAAACCATCCTTCCAACATTCTGCAACTAAGCACCAGTTCTTGGACTGAATCTGTAGGACTGGTATTTTAAAAAAAATTGTTAAGCAAAGAAATCTGATTGGTTGCTCAATGAAGGAAACAAAAAATAGACTGCTCCTCCCATGTCATTTTTATGTACCTGTGCGTCAAAACAGAACTGCAATAGCAATAATTATGGAATCTAGCACAGCCTAGAACCACAAAGACAAAAATGGCATATGAAGCCATGTTTGGTCCAGTTTACCAGACCCGCTAAAGATTATGGAAAATCATTGCAGATTAAAGTTGCATGCTTCTGGCAAATACACATCTGGTGCTATTTTTACATTTGAAATTGCATCAGACTTACTGATTTAATCTCAAGAGGTACATGGTAACCCATTCTGAAAATAACTTGTGTTTACCCAGATCCTGGAGAGCCCAGAACTCCTAAAGAGAAAGAAACAGTTAATGCCAGGTAGTCAAAATTTTGTTCCTGTTAAACAAAAAGCAAAGTAAGCAAATGAATGTTGTGGTTTAACCCCAGCCAGCAACTAAGCACCACACAGCCACTTGCTCACTCCCCGCCCCCGGTGGGATGTGGGAGAGAATCAGAAGGGTAAAAGTGAGAAAACTTGTGGATTGAGATAAGAATGGCTTAATAATTGAAATAAAAAACAATAATAATAATAGTGATAATAATAGTAATGAAAAGTAAAATAACAAAGAGAAATAAACCCCAAGAAAAACACATGATGCAAATGAAAAACAATTGCTCACCACCAGTCAAGCAAGGCCCAGCCTGTTCCCAAGCAGCGACCCCCTGGGCCAGTTTTTGCCCTAGTTTATACGCTGAGCATGAGGTCCTACGGTATGGTATGGAATACTATGGTCACTTGGGGGTCACGGCTGTGTCCCTTCCCAGCTTCTTGTCCCCAGTCTCCTCACTGGCAGGGCAGCGTGAGAAGCTGAAAAGTCCTTGGCTTAGTGTAAGCACTGCTCAGCAACAACTAAAACATCACTGTGTTATCAACATTATTCTCATCCTAAATCCAAAACACAGCATTATACCAGCTACTATGAAGAAAATTAATTCTATCCCAGCTGAAACCAGGACAACGAATATTAAAAGGATTTAAGGGGGAAACATATGATGACCCTTCAAAGGAATTTTTCTCCCCAAAAATTCTACTAGTATCTTTTTCTCTGTATTTAAATTATTTCTTTTTGCTAACATGATACATCCATATTAATCCATCTCTGTTATGGCACATTCTACGTAAACACTTCCAGCACTTCACCCCTATTCTTCTTTGGCTTATTATCTGACCTATTTTATTTTTTAGGCTACATAACTACAGGTTTTACTTTCTTCTGAGTTTTGTACATGGATCGGATCTATTCGTAGAGACTGGGGTTTTTTTCCAAAATTATGGAGTAAGGAAAATATATTGATAAAGAAAGATAAAGTATGTAGAAAAAGGGAAACTTGAGGTTACAGGAATAGGAGAAGCCTGAGAAGAATAAAGACAGTAGGAGAGAAAGAAGGGAGAGGAGACAGAACTTGAAAAAGGCAAACAGAGAGAAACCAGAGCTTGGGGTTAGTGCCTCCAGTGCTGGACAACAACCACTAACTAGGCTTCCCTGGCTGACTACATTGAGCTAACAGCTGCTTCCTATTGCTCAGTTGAAACAAAGTGGCTAAAGCTCATACATAAAAAATTAACTTCAGAGAAAGAACAAGTTAGAAAGAAATGGACATAGATAAAAGGAGATAAACAGCAGATATACAAGAAAAAAATGGGCAAAAGTTAAGTAAGGGAAATTAAAAGCAAGAACAAAACAAAGTTTTGATCACACTTGTGGTTTTTTAAAGAAATGGGAGTCAAAAAATAATGAAACCACATTTGAGTATAAAAATGACTTGCTCTCATTTTAAGTTAGACTCAAAGACAAACAGAAGTAAGTTAGAAGTTAGGGAAAGGCAATGAAGTTTCCCAGGCAAAGTGAACAACATTCCTCACATGGAAAAGGTACTATATTAAAGAACAAAAGAAAAAAAAATTTGGCTCTTGGAAAAAGGCTTCCTATTTTTCTTTCCAGATCAGGTACTTAGAAGCTTTCTTTTCAGAATTTCCTGACTGCAATTTTATGCAATTATTACTTGCTAGCATCTCACTCCAGTTCAAACGCTTCAGCTGTATTTCCACTTCTAAAGACTGCACTATATCCAGGTAAGAAGTTTATCTCTTTTATCTCTTAAAAGAGACGTTTATCTTTTTCATAAAGTCCCTCCCCAGCTTTCCTGTAGGCCCCTTTTATGTACTGGAAGGCTGCTATAAGATCTCCCAGCAGAAGAGAAGGCTCATTTCACAAGGGCGTGTAGTGATAGGACAAGGGGCAATGGCTTTAAACTGGAAGAGGGAAGATTTAGATTAGATATTAGTAAGAAATTCTTCACCATGAGGGTGGTGAGGCACTGGAACAGGTTGCCCAGCAAAGCTGTGGATGCCCCATCCCTGGAAGTGTTCAAGGCCAGGTTGGATGAGGCTTTGAAAAACCTGGTCTAGTGGACGGGGGCCCTGCCTATGGCAGGGGGGGTGGAACTGGGTGATCTTTAAGGTCCCTTCCAAACCAAACCATTCTACGACTTTAATAATCTCATTTCTTTTATGGTTATACTTGGTCCTGAAGAGTAAGTTTAGACTGAGTTAGCAGCAATACAGGATGGGATAACAGGCTGAGCAGGACACAGTAACAAAATGTATTCTTATGCTTTAAGTTACATTTAGAACCAATCTTGTGCCCAAAGAAGGGCAGAGGCCACTATGTGCTGAGATTCTAGCAAGAGTTTACAATGAGATGGGATTTCATTTATCATTACAGACACAAGCTGATAGGCCTGAGAGCAGAGGTTTATGCCACCTGCTAAACCCATGCTAGGAAGAGTTTGATTGACTTGAGGTTGAAATTTTCCTTATAGGTCCTGTCCAACTTCACTTGTGTCTTACAAAAGAATGGTCAGAAGGTAGTCTTAAGCAAAAACAAAAAAAAAGAGAGGGGAAGGGGAGGAAAGTTCTTCCTAGCAGACCCATCTTAAATGTCAAGAAAATCACATTCCCACCTGTGTATGACTATTTATGACTATTCATATTGGACCTGTACCAGAGGCTGAAAACCTGACTTCAGCAGTCTTCATTAACGTGTCTTTCATTAGCACTCTTTGTTAATGTATCCTTCATTACCAGACACAGGCTTAACATGGGGTAGTAGCATGACACAGATATATTAGTCTCCCTGTCCCTTAATAATGCAACAATGGCACACTTCCCAGACAAATCATGGCTTGAGACATCCTCTATTATACCAGGGTTATGTCCAACTTGATTTACTCATTTTATATTAAGTATTCCTAAAATTGGGTGCTCATATTAATACCTCAGGAATATGGAGCTCCTTTAACTGGTCTTCAGTAATTTCACTGAGCTGTCGAAATGTCATTGTAAAATCAGCCTTTGTATCTTCCATAAGCTAGTGAAATAAAGAAACTTCTATCAGTGTTTTTAAAGTATGGGGTATCAGTTCAGATGTTTGCCAATAAAATTAGTAGAGCAAACTCACTTTCAGGAGGAAAGCAATCAAATAGTTATCATCTTCATTCTCCCCAAGAAGACCCAATTTTGTTTTGAATAGTTCTGTGAAACTGAAAATAGTAACAAAGTAAGGAAATTGCTACCTAATACAATTTGTAGTATTGTGACTAGAAGGTTTGAGTTCTGGAACTGCATACCGGATGTAATAGTGCTCACCATATCCCTCCAAAATCTGGGAAGCTCTGCAAAAACAAAAGAACTGTCAAATTTTATGGAACTAAAATACTACTGTGAATACAATCTTACTTTATGCTAAACAATGAAAATTTCTTCTGTCTGATATCTCACAAACATTGACATTCTGAATCAACTGGGATCTGTAGTGGGAAAAAGACTGAGGGAAATATTTTAACAGGCTTCAAATACATAAAGAGCTGCTGCAAAGAAGAAAAATACAATGTTCTTCCTTTTCATACTGAGTAAGAAGTCATGAGTTTAAACTTCACAAAAGAAGATTCATATTAGGAATCTTTACAATAAGATATTACAATACTACCTCATTGCTTCAGGAGGATGTATGGTCTTTATAAGTAAGCATCTTGGAGAACAAGCTAGACAAACTTAAAATAGAAAACTACAGGCAAAGGTCCTACCTTAGTGAAAACAGAATGGACCACACAACATCTAGGACTGCCTTCCAGTCAATATTTTGCTATTATTTATGACTAATGAAAACCTTTCTTCCCTCCCTACAACCTTATTCTGGCCAATAATTAATTCAGAATCAATTTCCACTTAGAAAAAGAGATTTTAAGAGCTAATCCCTTTCTTTCCTATGCATATAGTGATTAGAGGGTCTCCCATCTCACTAGTTCTTTTAAGCATTAAGATATTTTAAGGATTACTTACAGCTGCTTTTGCCTGGGATCCAATAAAGGTTTTAGAGCTTGTAACAGCTTGCTCAGATTAAACAGCCCAACATTTGCCTGGTTTCCTATTTTATACCTCCTTTCATCATCAGATGTGTTTGGAACAAAATCTATTTCAAACAAAACATTACTTTTCCACAACAGAGTAATTACAATAAACAATCAATGTTAAAATATTGAAGTGCATTCATTTTTATACTTACACAGCAAACTAATAAAAGCCCTAAAGTTACTAAATATTTAAAATCAGATCACAAGAATACTTATTTACAGTGAATAAACTCAAAATCTACTATTTGCAAATCTAAGGAATACATCCTTCACAGACAAGTTCCTATATGTCACAAGTGACATTTTCCTACTTTGAAGATACAAAATAAATTTGAATGTTTAAGCAGAAAAAGACCATTTTTACACTAAAACTCATGCCTTATTCAATCTTTTTACTACATATAGCTCTACAATTTAGCACACAGACTAAGCAAATGACTGTACAACCAGATTCACGATTTATAAGTATTTTTTGAAAAGTAACATGTATTTAAATAAATAGGCCACCTAAGCAAGATTTGTTTCAGTTGTACAAGCAAGCTTTATGTATTCACATCAAAATTAGGGATAATGTGTTGCAGTATGCAAATCCATTATTTGGGAGATAATAAATATCTGCTATGCAAGTTACAGGTATCCAAAAGTAAAATGTATAGCACCAGTCTCTGGATGGATGCAGTATGAACCCCTTGCTAAGATCAAATGCAGATAAGCTGATCAATGCACACAGCATTGCTGGAGTCCTCAGGGGACTTTAACAACAAATGGAGCATTAAGGAGACCTATGACACATCTGTCAGATCTGGTGATTGGTTCCAATCTGAATTTTAATTCTAAAGCCTTTCATCTGGTTCTAGGCTGTACTGACTCTGGCAGGGATGGAGTTAATTTTCTTCATAGCAGTCTGTATGGCACCGTGTTTTCAACTTGTGACTAAAACAGTGTTGGTAACACATCAATGTTTTAGCTGTTGCCTTGATGTTGCACAGCATCAAGGCCTTCTCTGTTCTTGCTCTGCAACCCCAGCAAGTTAGGCTGGGGCTGAGCAAGGGGCTGGGAGGGGACACAGCTGGAACAGCTGACCCCAACTGACCAAAGGGATATTCCATACCATATACCGTCATGCTCAGCAATAAAGACTGGGGGCTAGTTTTTCCAAAGCAGTTGTTGCTTGGGGACTGACTCAGCATCAGTCTGGTGGTGGGAGGTGGTGAATGATTCTCTTTGCATCACTTGTTGGTTGTTCACACCCGTTTTTTTTCCTTCACTTATGTCTTTTTATCTTGACCCATGAGCTTTTGTCATCTTTGCTCTTCCAATTCTCTCCCCCCACCCACAGCAGGGGGGAGTGAACGAGTGGCTGGTGGGTCCTCAATTGCCAGCTGGGGTCAACCAACCATATGAAAAAAAGATCTAAAACCAGAAAAGCCCTTTTTTTTCAATACAATAGAAACAATGTGACATTTGTTCTCACGAGATTTCCTTAATTTAAGCCTGCAGACTCATGAAAACAGATAGCAAGATAACCACTGCTGGTTCTGAAGCTTACTCAGATGCAGCCTCTAAACAATAATCTAATAATATGCATTTATGTGCATAATGGACCTATATCTATCAATCCCAGACCGACAGAGTTCATACTTTCAAAGAAAGGTTGCCATGACTGGGTAGATTTCATTTGTTTTCTTCCAACCTATAATTAGCTGCTGTGACTATAAAGCTAGAGCATGATGCATGCAAATTTACTGTATACCACTTTTGCTTTTGGATGCTTACAGCAATACACAATTTTTAGTTTTCTAGGTTTCTGTTCTAGCATCTATTTAATGGATGAAGTTCAACTGGAAACATTCTCATGAAAATGGGTTTAATAGTTACATTTCATTAACAAGACTTTTACCATTTGAAATGCAACATGTATAGTGTCTCATAAAACTGACCTCTGATATAATTTTTTTCCCTAAAACTCTTCAAACAATATGCATACTTCGTATTTTTCTGCTAACAATGTCAGGAGTTTTCATGCACACAAAAACTACATAAATTAATATAAAGAATTTATTTTAAGTAAAAAATTGTATTTAAAAACAGGTGCTACACTCACTTGGGTCATAGGAGTCCATAAATCCAAATGGACCATAATCTATTGTTATGGATAATAAACTGAAGTTATCTGTATTGCACACACCTACAATTAAACAAGGAGAAACAAAAGTTAAAATTCCACCTGAACCCTGTAGTCTCTAGAAAATGTGCTGTAAAATAGATCCACTGAATCTAGAGAACTTTGGAGTAGTGACCTTTCAGAAATCAGACTCTGGAAAATAAACTTGTCCCTTTTACTCTTGACATGGCATGCATTTTAAGTATGAAAATGAGAAACCGTTCACTACACGATCTTGCATCTGGTTTCTATACCTAGGTGGCACTGTTTACTTTTCCTTTCAGTGCTACACAGTATTGAAAGAGCATCCTGCAAATTGGTGATTAGCTGCTTCCTTGCAAGTTGACTGGGTGCTGTATTAGCAAGACAATGCTATTTTATTTTTCATAATATAAATCTGAAGCAAAGGTGGACAGCACTGTATCCTATACAGTATAAAAGGCCAGTTTTTTATGTAGATGCATCAAATTCAGAATAATTAAACTCACATATGACATCAATACCTGGTCTTTGTACATCAGACTATTACAACAACTCTGAGAATTCTTGCTCCCATATTCTTGCTTCTGTCAGATACAGTCATGCTTTGAAAGATCAGAAAGTGTTCCTAACTCTGTTACAAAAAAACTTGTATATTAATGCATAACAGATACTGCTGTAGGTGAAGACATCAAAAGAACTGAAGAACAAAGTGATAAATAAAAGCCATCTTTAAGTATATGGCTATAAAGAGTCACTCCTGTGAAGCCAATGCCATCTACTGCAGCTTACCATGTGCAAACCCCACAGACATCCACAACGCAATCAGATTTGCAGTCTCTGATACGACTGTAGAGAAAAATTCCTAAAATCAAATACATCTTTTACTTCAAGTCCTCTGAATCAAAAATATGGAACATAATAAATAACATAAACATTTGGTTCACTTTAGAAATATGCGACACATTCTATTTTTAGATGTGTATCTCTGTCAGGACTTTTCATTCACATTCTAAATGATGTGACTGCACAACAACCTTATCCAGCAAAGACTATAGTTAAATAAGTACACGCAGATGACCTAAAAGAAATTAGAAAGTCAAAAAAAGAAACAAAGACACTATATATACTAGTTTATATACTAGTATATACTATATATACTACATTTATACTAGAAAAAAGCATAATTCATCACTTCACGACCACTATTCACTTAAAATCTGAGCAGTAAGAGAACAAAATACAGGGGAATACGCAAGCTTCCCAATAAACATTTCCGTAATGAAAAGTGGTGAAAAATGTTCATATTTGACTTTGAGAAAAAAAACTTAAAGAAGGAGGTTTTTACTGAAGAGAATTAACAACTTTTGCTAATAAAATCTGGAAGCTTACTTCAACTTTTAAAACCTAAAAACTTGAAACTTTGAAAAGCTTTGTATAATTTTTGTTCACATGCTTGTGGAAAATAAAAATAACTTTTAAAAAGACTTACCAGATATCTATTTGAATCATTCATGGCTATTGATGGAAAATGTTCCTGGATGATAAAGTCTAGCAATCTTCTGTAATAGGAGAGGCAGAATTCTTTTAAATAAAACTGGTATTTTTAAAACTGATCATTCAAAATTCTTGTTTTCAAAGAGCTAAATGCTGATCTACAGCTTGCTGCAAACAGTTATTACAAAACTCAATCTATTTATTCCAGTGAGTCTCGGATTAAGCCCTTCCAAATGCTTAGAGATAAAACCTAAGGTTCCATTCATAAATACGATGGGAGACTGCCATGTAGAGTTCAAATTATTCCCACGTGTTAAACTTCCACAGCACACCAGGATCTGGTTTTACATGCAGTAACACAAATTTTTTAGGGGGAAAAAAGTTTGTATATCCAAAAAAAAGTATATGATTACAAGGAATACTTCTACATCAGAATTCTCACAAAGAAAACTTTATGGCTGAATTCTTCTGAAGTAGGGTTACCTATCATGGTAACTGGTCATTCCCAAAACAGTGCTGCATAGTCCTACAAGACAGGCTCAGGAAATTGGGATACATGCATTAAAAACTGCAATACCTGTCAAATGCATATCTTTGCAGATCTAAAGCTTTAAAGTAGAGTGGCTGGCATTTAGTACATTTAGGAGCTCCCTACAGGACCATGTTGTGGTCAGAGCCAGCCAGGGCCACTGGTACTGGAAGCTGCAAGCACCATCTATACGTCGGGTATGCAGCCTGGGCAAGGGTTGGACCTGGGCAAGGGTTGTGCAGCTGCACACGCAAATATCTAGATTTTACCTTCTAATCAGGTTGTTGGAGCAAATCACTGACCTCTCATCAAACTGTGATTTTGTCAGAGTACCTAGCAACCTGACCTTTAGAAGGCTGTCCAACCTATTGCCTCTGAATTTCAGCTGGTTGCTCCAGGACATACTCTTTCAGGAGGACCTTCTCTGAGGAGGAAGCACAGAGAGTCACACTATACTAGCCTTGGCCCGCTCCTTCTGAGGCCCCTTCCAAAACAGGCAGGTAGAAGTCATCTGTTTCTCATGAGTACAAGTGATCTTTACATGCTGCTTAAATCCAATGGGTCACAAATAGTTCAACCAAAAAAAACAAACCAAAACTTAAAATCAGTTCCTTAATTCAGTCTTTCAGTTGTACAAGTAAAATCTGCTGTGAGATTTCAAAAAAAAGGAAAGAAAGACAGCATACAGTGATGCAGGAAGTTAAACTGAATTATCAGTTACTACAACATACAACTGCTGCTATCAGCTCTTCCTCATTTTTAAGCAACCCAGAACAATTTCTGTTGCTCCTGAGGAGAAATAATCAACTTTTAAATATTTACAGTAGACTTAAAAATTTGTCATGCTAATTGCTTGACACAAAAATTAATATAGCTAAAAAAGGCGTAAAACCATGCAATAATTTCTTACCTAGTAAACTTCTCTGGTTCTGCATGTTTCTGGAGAGCATACTTTATATAACGTACTCATGCTAGTGATTTATTTCGTATTTCTGTTAATTTAGTTTCACAGACAACTATGAGAAATGCAGGAACTTACACTTTAAATTTAGAAATCTTTCCAAAACAAATAACTCCTCCCTAGTGCTTAGTTACCAGAACTATTTCAGCTATAATACCTTTCTCATTTTGTAAGATCCAGGCCTTCAAAAACATCTAGGGGGTTCTACCCTTATGAGGTAAGATCTTTTGTATGCTTCTATAAAAATAGCAGGTTATCTTTCTAAATAATGCAATCTTCCTTTCTAAATAATTTGTCTAAATTCCAAATGTATATATGCATTCTAATATATATTTGATTGTTAAGAAAACTAATATAGTTACTATGAAGATTAAATTCAAACCTTTGTAAGTCCAGTTCCCCAGAATGAGCTAAGATTTCTAAGGATCCTATACGAAACCATGACTTGGCAAGACGTAGCACTATTGCACCTTAAATATAGACACATGCGTTTAAATGTAAATGGAGTATCAGCAAAATAAAATAGTTCCACAGTAAAAGCCATCATGTGTTGCTTCTGTAGGTGCAGAATTTATATATGCATAGTTAAACTGGTATTTTTGTAAGTATGCTTAATGCATAACAGATGAATATGTATAATATTACTTTACCACACATACATTTTAATTATAAAGCTTAAGTTGCTATATCAGCAAACACAGGCAAAATTCCAGTACTGCATTAATACTAGAATTACTCCAGAGATGCTAGCAACAAAGAAAGAATCAACATAAATAGATTTTTCCCCATGCTGTGCCATCCCACTCTTTTTCAGAGCAGGTGTAGAGGATGTAGCAATGGCACAGCCACAGTAGCATTCCCACCATCCTAGTATTGCTATTGGAACCATGGAAAATTTCCTTAGTTTTCAATAACATTTTTGTAATGGCAAGTGAAAATAAAAACTATACCCCTACAACACATATGCCACAATCATAGCAGACACGTTCATAGGGCTTAATTTCTTTAACTAAGATGTTTCAGACTGATTTTCTCAGGAGGGGTTTTATATCTTAATAAATGAAATGAAGCCTATTTAGTACTTTTTATTACACATATATGACATATTAAAATTCATTTTTGCAATGGAGAATTAAGTTACAGTGTTGCAACATATTATTTTGAAATATGTTCATTACCTCTTTCTTTCTTAATATTTCCATTGTAAAACTGGTCTCTCCACACATCATCATCACTTACAACTAAGCTGTAACAAACAAGAAATAAACATTAAAAGTTATCTCAGGAAAAATAATTTACAATGAAGATCAAGTCATATTTTATATAACTTTATTCCTTCATAAAAAGAAAGATCTTTTTGCTGGCATAGCTTTGTATTTACAAATGACACAGGCAAACAGTAAGCTGAGGCTTACCAAGCTTCATTAGCAAGATGCATTTATTTTGTATTTATATAATGTTGCCCAATGTCCATTACTTACACTGCTCTTGGGGAAGGGGTTGCATTCAAAATAAGTACTGCATTCATTTAGAACCTCAGTGACTGATTAGTGTGATGATAACATTAAATAAGTCACAATTTCCCTGAGGACAACAGTGAAATTAGAAGGACAGAGAAACTGGAAACCAAATCGTTGCATCAGATGGAGGTTGCCCTTTATATGAGCCAAGACTGTTGTCTCAGGAACTTTGGGGACAGATCTGGGACCCTTAACAATCAGGAACTCTTCAAGTAGTGTCAACACACAAAAAAGGCATAATTCTGATGATACATTATAATTATTCCTTTCTTCTTCGCTGCTGCTTGTACTCAGATTTTTAAAAACAATCTCTTCCTTTCATTTGCCTTAAAATTCTGCACTTCCTATAAACTTTTGTGTTTATCCAAATACCAAGATTTGTGAGTGCTTGGAACAACTTTCCTTGCTCTAAAATATTTCACCACTTACATTCATTTTATGAAATAATGTCATTTCACTGTATTTTCTGTTATATCAGGAATAATAAAATGGAATCAATCCTCACAAACTATGCAAGGGCATCATATTCCCCTCAGGTTAATGTGTAGGAAGTTTTCTCTCCAAAGCAACTGGGATTACACTGACAATCCAGCAGAAGTAATGCTTGGTGCCGTCTTCTCAAAGCGGTGTTGTCTCCTCATAGGCACAGAAGACTTCTTGTTCAAGAGTCTAGCAGCAGGCAAATTTAGCTCACTTTGTATAATTCTTCTTTATTTTTGCCTGCTGATAACTGGAAAACATTCCTCTATTCAGGAGAGACATGGACCTGTTGGAGTGGGTCCAGAGGAGGCCACAAAAATGATGAGAGGGCTGGAGCACCTCCCCTATAAAGACAGGCTGAGAGAGTTGGGGTTGTTCAGCCTGGAGAAGAGAAGGCTCCGGGGAGACCTTGTGGTAGCCTTTCAGTACTTACAGGGGGCTTATGAGGAAAAATGGGGACAGACTTTTTAGCAGCGCCTGTTGCGACAGGACAAGGGATAATGTTTTTAAACTAAAAGAGAGTAGATTCAGACTAGATATAAGAAATAAATTTTTTATGATGAGGGTGGTGAAACACTGGAACAGGTTGCCCAGAGAGGTGGTAGATGCTCCATGCCTGGAAACATTCAAGGTCAGGTTGGATGGGGCTCTGAGCAACCTGATCAAGTTGAAGATGTCCCTGTTCATTGCAGGGGGGTTGGACCAGATGACCCTTAAACGTCCCTTCCAAACCAAACTATTCTATGAGTCTATGATTCAAAATAGTTGGGTGGCATACTATTTGAAATTTAATGTAGCTACTTATAACTGCTATCTATTAGGTAGTCGAAGACTGCACTGAAGACAAAATGAAACTCTCCTTGGAGGTACATAGAAAAGGACAAGAGGTAAACCTAATATTCCATTCATAAATATGACTGAAGACAGTCACAGAGTTAAACCAGCTCCCAAGTGTTAAATTTTGAGAGTACGCTAGATTCTGGTTTTACATACTTTAGCATAAAAATTTTAGAAATAATTTAGTTGGACCAAAAGTGTAGAGTATGGATATAAACACAAATATGTACAAAAAAATCATGAAAAGGAATGATTTGTCTGAATTCTTACACAGTGCAGTTGCTTGCAACAGTAACTGTGGCTTCGAAACTATATTATTCTTATTTGTTATCATTATATTTGGTATTTTTGAGGGTATCTAGTAGGTATCCAAATAGAATGTTCTCTGTTAACTGCAAAGAACAGGCAGTGAATTGTTCCAGAAGGAGGGAAAAAGTATCTAGAAATTAATCTGCTCCCATTACTGGAACTGTACTGATACAAGCAAAATTAGGAAATTTTTTTTTTAAAAGACTGTTTTGGAAACAATCATATATGATTGGTATGTCTGTAGGATTAAGTACAAAAAGTGCTGACATAAATGAGAAGAAGAAAATCTTAATTCTTCAAGAAAAACCAAAAATTTTCAAAAACAGGGAATGAACGCAGACACTAACAAAATATAATGTGCATCAGAGCACTAGGGGATAGGAGTGAGCATAATAATGCTACTAAATTTTACTGTTTTGAACAGACCTCTGCCAGAAGGGTTGTTTCTTTTTGACTATGTGACTCTTAGCAGGCTCTCCGCAAAATTCCTGCAGAATACCAGCACTTCTTTTATTACTGACAAAAAATCCATGGAGGCATCACATTTGGTTAGTTACTAACACGAGTTAATGGATGTGCATCACTTAAGAGCTGGCCAGATAGCTGAGCAGCCACATAAAGATATCTACATTCCCACTCTAAGAATAGTTTTCAAATGGTCCCTGTAGTTGGTAAGTACTTGAAAGAAGGCAGTAGGAGACCAGACATACACTCAGCCACAGGAAACAGAGCACTGAAATTGTTTTTACACCAGAGAAGCTGGAACAGCACTCACAGGACGACGAATGGATTATATCCCTCCCTACCCCTGGCTCTAGCTCAAGGGCTAGGCTTTACACTCCCAAGTGCTCTGCTTGCTGTTTTGCATGAACATCAAGCCCTATGCAAGGGCCACACTGAAAACTATGCATATTGGATCGCTTTTTTGACCTAATGCATAACACTCCTCACTGGTAGTCCCAGTATGTGACTAAAATGGTACCATATGAAGAAGTGTTCCTTATCTGGCAGTACAGTCATAAACTGTAGCACCCCAGTGGGAACACAGTACTTAAAATTAATAGAGCGAACCAACCTGCTGGGTGTTCTGAGATAAGCCGTAAGGCTTTTCCCCACACTTCTGCCAAGTCTTGACAAGACCTCTGTAAGTGCATCCCACCAGCCTCAGTACAACAGCTCCCCATTGGGAAGAATATGGATATCAGCTGGGGTTTTTCCAAATGAAGTCTTGGAAATAGTCTGAAGAGCTTCTACAGCAGTTAAGAGAGCCAGGCATTTAACCAATGTGCCAGCAGAGAACTAAAGCACACTGTGTACTCAATAGAATTTGTGCACAGTTAAGGAGTAATTTCATATAGTTTTTGCACTGAACAATTTGTTGAGACGACAGCAAAGAAAGGCTATAACCTTGCCAGATGCTTTCC